GCCAGCCTGGGCTACCAAATGAGTCCCAGGAAAGGCGCAAAGCTACACAGAGAAACCCTGTCTCGAAAAACCAAAAAAAAAAAAAAAAAAAAAGGAGAATGGATTGAGCTGGAGACTGAAGACTTACATACTTTATGTACATAAATCATAGCACAACTTTTATAAAAGGGAACAGTGTTAGGCTTCCTGTTTTTCCAGAAGGTTTTCTTGTATTCGGTTAGAAACAACTTCCCTACTACAGCTTGACTCGGCTACAATTCCTCTCCCACAGGGGAAGCTCCAGGCAACTCTACAGAAACTGGTGGCAAAAGAAAAAATATGTGATGAGTGGAAAGATGACCTTCAAGAGGAGAGAACTTTCTGGAAGGCAAGTGGGGACCGTAACTCCTAAAGGACTTAGGCTGATGCCTGGGAGGGACCTGGACATGGAATGAAGGGTCCCTGTCTGGCTCTTCTTCCCTGATAGTTGATGAGGACAAGAGGCCTTGATTAGCCCTCTCTACCTGTTCCCTTGGAGCTGGGGCTGCACACTGAGAGCATCACAACTGAGCCTGGCTATGTGGGGAGCTGACACCATGGAGGGGGTCTGGTGAGAGTGGGCACTGAGTCCTGGATCTCACTCCTGTGGTGTTATCTGCAGCTATGACTGCTGGGGAAGATGCTTGGGAACAGGCACAGTTCTTCTATTCTTGGGGTTTAGCTTCTCCCATGGGTTCAGAGGTAGAATGAGGAGATTTACAGGCAGGAAAAAGAGTCTGGGTCAGCTGTGTGAAAACTGGGCCACACCCAGGCATCCCACTATGGCTCAGATGGCCTTAGTAAAGGTGACCTAAGATTTTGGTTTTGGAATGTCATCAACAGACACTAAGAGGAGACACATGCTTCTCTGAGACTCCCTCCCCTTCCCAAGCTCAGTTTCCTGTGAGAACTCCCCATCAGAACTGTTTTTCTGTCTTCCAATTACATTAGGATAGTCTGAATTCCTCTCCCTCTTCTTATCCCTGAAGAACCAAATACAGGGTGATGTAGAAAAAGTTCAGATGGAGTTTAAAGAACTTCGGGAATTCCTGGACTCCAAGGAGAAGAATGAGGTGCAGAAGCTGAAGCAGGAGGAGGAAGACATTATGAACAGCCTGGCAGAGTCTGAAAGTGAGCTGGTGAAGCAGAGGGAGTCAGTGAGAGACCTCATCTCAGATGTGGAGCATCAGTTGCAGTGCTCAACCATGGAAATGCTGCAGGTAAGACTGCAGGAGGTCCCAGCATCTGGAAGTCAGGAGACCTGGAAGCCATTTCCCTCCCTCTGAGCTGCTGTGACCTTCCTGGTGGGGGCAGTAGGGTTCCCTGGGCCCTCCCTGAATTCTGTCCTAAATCAGTTTCAGAGTCTGGGGAATTATTGCGTGCAAGGATAGCACGGGGAAATTGCATTTTTTAGTTTATCAAGTATGAACCTTGAAGAGAAGATCAGTTGCATCATGGGTAGTTATTACCCTGCTGTGATGTTCAGCATGTGTGAAGCACATTTCCACCTGTCAAGTTCGTCACTTCACCTGAATTTGAAATTAATAGAGGTTGTTTCTTTCCTGGAATGATTTGAAACTTTTACTCTCACTGGTTCCTGATTCCTGAGAGAGGAAGGATGGGGGTCATTGAGGGTGGCTGTTGTTAAACACAAAATTAACCTATAATCCCAAGGACAAGGTAACTTTCTGGAATTCTGGGAGTGGGAGTTCTTGGAAACTAATAGCAAAGCCTCATGGGAAAATATGGTGGCCTGTGGGTTTTCCCCTTGTAAGCTCTGCCAACAAATATCTCTGGCCACTCACCTAGAAAGTTTTCCAGGTGATGGTCCTTTCCACATTTCATCCTGGTCACTATTTAATATTTTAAATCAAATCTTGCTTAAATTCAGCCAAAATGGTGGAACTACTTTTTCTGGCAAATTTTAGGATTCATGCTATTAATCATCCAAGATCTCAGAGAGGTTTCCCTTCCTCTGTCTTCAAGTTGCTAAGATGAAAGGTGTCTTCTTTTATTCTTACAGGTATAAAGTTTGTACTGTATTTTGTCTCTATCACGTTTTTAAATAATTTAAACCAAAGTCTTATTTATTTGAATATCTCTGTACGAATTTGATTCTTTCATCTCAATTGTCAATGTTACCAATAGACCTTGGTAGTTCTAGGAATTCTTCACAAACCTTTAATTTATGGGTTCCATTGGGTTAATTTAATTATAAGTGAAAACATTCATTTATCAGCTATGTTAGATGAACTTATGTATATATGACTAAACTAAACTGGTTCATATAAATACTAACTATAGCCACCATACTCTACAAGCCTGAAATTGTATGTCTTAACCTAATAATCTGCCCACCTTTCTCTGCCTCCAGCCCCTGATGACCCAAATTCTAATCTTTACTTTTGGGAGATCAATTTGTGTACATGACACATATTTAAATATCATTTAGTGTTGTTTTTTCCTGTGCCCAGCTGGTTTAGTATAACATAAATTTTCTGAGTTCAGCCAAGTTACCACAAATGGCAATACATCTTGCTTTGAATGTCTAATATTTTAACACATATACTTATTATATCATTTTTATACATTCATCTGGTGATTAGTTCTCCAGTTGACTCTATTTTATCTGCTATGATAATGACTCAGTGGACATGAGCATACAGATGTCTCTATGTTTGAACATCAGAATTCATGTATAATTAGAATTAGTTCTTTCCCAGAATTCTTTTTACCATGGATCTAATTTTGTTAATTTATGTTATATTAAATAAAGCCATGTGTAGCCAAGCATCTACTGCCTGTGATCCCAGGACTTGAGAGCCTCTCATACACAGAGACAAAAACATGAGAAACAAAGAACATTAAAAATAGAATATAAGCTTCCCAACCTAGAGCCAGGTATGCTGGCTCACTCCTTCAATCCCAGCAATTGAAATGCAGAAGCAAATGAAGCTCCATAGGTTCAAAAGCCTGCCTGATCTATTTAGTGAGTTCCAGGCCAGCGGGGTTACATATTAAACCCCACAGCTGGTGAAGGTGGGAATAGTAAGACTTCAGAGTGTCCAGTTTTAAATGCAATGTATATACTGCACCTCTAATTTAAAGGCCCAGGGATCATTACAGAAGAAGGGCAGAAAGAGTGTAAGAGTCAGAGCTGGTGGGTGAGTACAAGGAAAACAGTGTCTTCTGCACATAGCTTAGCAGCAGCACAGGTGAACTGCAATTGGCTGTGACACCAAACCCAAGTCCCGTGTAAGCCTAAACTAAAATTCGACTCTGGAAAATGGACTTTCATAGGAAGTCCAGCCACATCCAAGGAGTTCCTGACAATTGTTAGCTGTTAGGAGAGAGGGGGTCATATTTCTCAAAGAATGTGACTTCAGGTAAATCTACCAATATCTATTGGAACCCAAACATGCAAGAATACTTGCACAGTGTTCGGTCTCAATCCCAGGACAAATGGGTAACTGAGATGCCTATTTAACTTATCAAAGTAGACCTGGTGGGTCAGATCTTGATATGTGTCCCATATAAAAGAGCAAAATTAATATTGGAAATCAGGAAAAGGATATTTATTAATGTGGCCATATTTTGAAGATGGACAAAGAGATTAAAAAACCCCCTCTGTCCATCTTCAGTTTCCCGAAGTGAGTTCAAAGTTTAAACTGAGAGTTTATATACGCATGTGAGTACTACAGGTCAAGGTGTGGTCCTGTCCATCATTCTCCTATCATTATCTGGGTTATAGTCTCACAATGTGGTCTGACAAGTAACTAAAACTGCTTAAAATCTTTTTAGACCACTATCCCTGTGGCCAGAGCTATTTTTCTTCCCCCAGTGAGAGATTCCTGGAGAAATTCCATTTCTTCTGGGTCAGTGTTTCAATAGTTTGTCAAATTGAGAGACACAGACTCACTTCTTCTCCTGCCAGGACAGTTACAGAGAGAGAAGGAAAAGAGACAGAGACATGGTTAGTTGGTTTTAAGTATCAGACAATCTAAGCTTCTGGTCCTTGTGGCTTCTTCATTACTAATATGTTAAATCATGTCTAAAGGACTAAAATAATTTATAAATCAGCTTCTCACAATGTTAGTTGCAGATACTGTAATTGATAGCTTACATGCAGCACCAAAAGAGTCATATCATGTCTTGGAGAACTGTGAGGGCCATATTTGATTCTCTTTTGACTTTGTCTCTGCAGCCAGTGAGAGTGTGAGCAGGATTTGCAAGAACATGCAGAACATGTTATTCACTGTGTTTTCTCCCTTCTCCCCAGGGTATGAATTCTGTTCTAACAAGGTATGTCTGGGCTGATGGGGAAGAATAGCACTGTTGGATGGTGAAAATGATTTAGTATTCAACTAGAATAAATATCTTATGTGTTTGGAGGAATTTAAACATAATACTATTATGAACTTCCAGTAAAAAAGGAGAGAGGGAGAGTGGGGGAAAGGCAGGATCTGCCAGTTTTGTAATATTGAGAAGAGATTTGATTGTCTTTTAGGGACCGGGTAATGGGGAGTTGTAGAGTCACACTCAGCAGTGGGATGAATCAAAAGGAGCTATAAGCCGGGCGGTGGTGGCGCACGTCTTTAATCCCAGCACTCGGGAGGCAGAGGCAGGCAGATCTCTGTGAGTTTGAGGCCAACCTGGACTACCAAGTGAGTTCCAGGAAAAGCACAAAGCTACACAGAGAAACCCTGTCTTGAAAAAAAAAAAATCCATAAAAGGAACTATAGGTGTTTTCAGACTCCTTGTGGTTCTGTCATTCTGTCCATACTGTGTGCTTGTATCTGGCTCTGGATCTGCCTTAACAAGTACTTGATTCCTCAATTCATCCTAGCTAGGGCATGTCTTCTCTGTCTGCAATGTTCACAGAATTGTGTATTGGGGGAGCTTCCTGTGTATTTATGTTTCTCATCAGAAGACTGAAAAGCTGTACCCTTGTATGTAAAGTGTAACACCCAGGCTGTTACACTTTACATACGAGCATCAGACTCATTCTGAACCTATGGGGCTCATGTTATTATTAATTTGGTGTTTCTGTCTTCTTTGCCAAATTATGTCATTGTAACAAAAGTACTTGAAGAATCAGAAGAATCAGATGCCAGCCAAGAGTGTCTGTCCATATTGACAACAGGGTTTGAACTCTTGGCTTTCTCCTGTGACTTTCCCACATTCTGTATGCAGGAGAGGTGTCTGTGCTCCAGGCTTTAGAACATTTCCTTGAACACCAACATCTTTTTTCCTCCTTTCTTTTTTTTTATGATTTATTTATTTATTTATTTATTGTGTATACAGTGTTCTGTTTGTATGTGTGTCTGCACACCAGAAGAGGGCACCAGATCTCACTATAGATGGTTGTGAGCCACCATGTGGTTGCTGCGAATTGAACTTGGGACCTCTGGAAGTCAGTGCTCTTAACCTCTGAGCCATCTCTCCAGCCCTCCTCCTTTCTTTATTTCTCTTTTCTTCTTTTTTGTTTTTGTTTGTTTGTTTTTGTTTTTGTTTTTTGCCTTTTTTTGTTTTTTGTTTTTTAACAGTATTACTCTGTGTAGCACTGGTTGTCCTGGAACTCTCTCTGTAGACCAGGCTGATCTTGATCTCAGAGATCCTCCTGACTCTGCCTCCTACCTGAAGGAATTAAAGGCATGTGACACCATGCCTAGCCCACACATTATTTTTTGAAAAACCTTAGTTTGGGTTGTTTTAAAATTTACTAATTCGGGCTGGAGAGATGGCTCAGAGGTTAAGAGCACTGACTGCTCTTCCAGAGGTCCTGAGTTCAGTTCCCAGCAACCACATGGTGGCTCACAACCACTTGTAATGAGATCTGCTGCCCTCTTCTGGCCTGCAGTCATACATACTGTATACATAATAAATAAATCTTTAAAAAAAAAAGATGTTTAAAAAATTATTAATTCATCATTTCTTCATATTTCTGGGAGGGGGTGAGTGGGGAGAGTAGGGGAGCAAGTTTGACTGTACAAGTGAGGAGTACTCTCCGCTTCTGAGAGTAAGGCTTTCCCAACATCACACAGCAAGTAAGTGGGAGGCTCATGGGTGTGTCTCTCATGTCTCCAGAGTTAGTAGTCAACCCTCTCTCCCCTTCTCAGAATTCTCAGGAGAGCTCCAGGACATCTATGGTTAGAATGATAGGGAGTCAGTGGTGGTCAGAGGTCACACTGTCTGAGATGTGGAGGTCAATGTTTTGTCCCTAGGAGTCAGACCTTAAGACTGAAACAACCTGAAATGATCCCAAGAAAACAGAGAAGGATCTTCCGCGCTCCAGATCTGAAAGGCATGCTGCAAGTGTTTCAAGGTGAGAACAGCTACATCCTGTGGGTAACTGTCAGATTCTAGGTGTGCTGGGGCTGCACTCTCTGGGAAGACAGTGGTATTTCTGAACGTAGGTCGAGGGACTCAGAAGAGCAGATACTGTTCCCCAGTAGAGTCATCATATTTCATGGGAAATCATCATTCATTGCATCCTGTATCACAATTTCCATACCTTCCCCTAATCTGCAGAGGATTGACATTAATGTTCTGATTCCTTTGCGTGAATTTAATGCTGTGAATTTTCATCCTTTCAGGGCTCATGGATGCTCAACAATACTGGGGTAAGGAGAAATCACACCATCAGCCACTCCCTTCTTACTGTCTTTCAGAGTTTCTCTACTAACCCTCATGTGTCATGTTACTTCTCCCAATCTGCCTCTTCTTGACTGTAAACAAGGATTCTCCCCCTCACTGTCTCCTAAGGATTCTGCTCTGCTGTGCCCTGCCTCTCTTGTGACTCTAATATGTCTCCTTTTTGTGCAGTTCATGTGACCCTGCATGGAACCCACGATAAAAACGTTGTCATTGATAAGGACAAAGGAGAAATACAACATCGAAATGTTAACAGAAAAAATCCGCAAGTTTCTGAGACCTATAAGTTGGGTGTTCTGGGATATCCAGCTATCTACTCAGGGAAACATTACTGGGAAATAGATGTGTCTAGAAGTGATGCCTGGCTCCTGGGATTAAATGATGGAAAACGTTCTCAACCCAAACTTCATGCACCAAATGAAAAGGGCATCAAGGTCAAATACAATCCTGATTTTAAACAATATGCAAATTTTGTGTCTAAATATGGCCCTGAATATGATTATGATTATGATTATGAACAACATGACTATCAGCCTAAATATAAAGTTAAAGATGATTCTGATGTGAAAAAGCATGTAAATTATCAACCTAAATATGGCTACTGGGTTATAGGGATGAAGAATGGGTCTGTATATAATGCCTTTGAAGAATGTTCTGTCACTCACAATGGCAGTGTCTTGGTCCTCTCTTTGATTCGTCGTCCCAGTCGTGTTGGAGTTTTCCTGGACAGAGAAGCTTGTACTCTCTCATTTTATGATGTTTCCAACCATGGAGCTCTCATCTATAGATTCTGTGAACCTTCCTTCCCTGATGAAGTTTATCCATATTTTAATCCTATGTCATGTTTAGAGCCAATGACAGTATGTGGGCCACCCTCCTAAACCCTCACCCATATCTGCACAGTGCCCCATGTCTGATGTATCTCATGCCTGAGCTCCCTGGCATCATTATAACTGTTTCTGCCTTTGCTCTTTCCCTTTTAATAAACTTCACTTGTCAGTACAAACCAACATGGATTTTTTTACTTGCTCAAGTTGCTTGCCCATTTACAAGGCAATAGTAATTTATCATCTCCCATATTCCCAAAGAAAATGACTCTTTCCTTATTAGGTGAGGTGAAGCCTCTGCTAACCCCACTTCCTGTTTTGTGGTGCCACAGAGGGAAGACAGGGCCTTGTGCATGCTGAGGAGGTGCTCTACCACTGAGTCACCTGTCCCAGCTCTGCCATGTCTGCACAAGCCCATGCCTTCTGCCACTGACAAGAGATGAAAGAAAGTTCTTCGCCAGCTTGTCTATTTAGTTTTGAAAATTATATGTAGGAGTTTCTAGCCTAGGAATGAGCCCTTAGTGGTACGTCAGGTTAACCACAATGTTTGTGCTTCATCCAAACTTAAGAAGGAAACATCTGCAATGGTACCCACTAAGACTGCGTGTTCAGAGTACCTGGGTTCTATTCTGCCACTCCACACAGCACTGTAACCCTGAATAACATCCTCAAAGGCATATCCTTATTATAATTTGTTTACCCTTTTGTATAAATAGTACACCTACACTCTAGGTTAGTGTAAGAGAATAAAGGGGGGGGCGTTGTTAGAAGACTCTGAGGGTAAAAGCAATCCTGAGGACAGTTCAATCACTCCAATCCACCTGGGAGGAGGCAGCCAATCCTCCAGATTGTCCTCTACCTCCACACACATGCTACAGTACACACTGATGCAGCATGAATGATGTAAGTTTTAAATAGAGAATAAATTCACTAAGAAAAAAGCATCCCCTACACTCAGTAGATGGTTGTTATGTTAATATGGGGGAAGAGGTGCTCTACTGGGTTTCCATGCTACAGTGGCCCACAGGGCAGGGCTCAGGGGATGACTAATGTTCGACTTTCCTGATGTCTTGCAGTTAGGTCCTTGAACTGCCATCAAATCTACTGTAGATGTACATTGTCTATTGTACATACCTACAAACATTTTTTGATTTTTGTGGAATTCCAAATCCAACAGGTCCGTGGAGCATGCCTGTACCCCATAATCTCTCAGGGATTTACTGTAGGAGTCCAGCCTTCATTCCTAACTCAGGGGAAAAACCTGGATGCCCTTCATAGAGACATGAGGTCACATCATTTTTAAAGTCAGCAATTCTTTTCCTCCCTGACAGAAAGCTTGTGCCAACATATGTTATTTTGCTGGCAGCCTGCCAGCTGCTAAACTAAGGGACCTGCCACCTCTGCTGCTGCCACATTCCTCTTCCCTCCCAGCACTTCCCCTGAATGGGGGGGGGGGTGCTCTTTGGTATTTGAACTGCTAATCCCTGCTTGCCCTCAATTCAACTGGTGAATGCAAATTAGGTGAACAATTCCACCTCTGTATGCAAATTAGATGTATTTTGTTTATTCTTTGGCTTTAAGCTACATGTTAACTATCCTGTTACCCCAATAAACAGGCTGCCTTGTATGTACACTTCCTAGCTGTTCTTTGCTCATACATAAAGCCATCCTACACCCCAGCCTCTGTTCTTCCCTGGGTCCTAAGACTACTCATGCACCCTGGAGTCTTGAGGTCAGGGGACAAATGACAGGCTTTCCAATCTTTTTTGAGAGGGTAAGTGTTGTGGTACTATTTAGTTCTTATCAAGTATGTTAAATCCTATGATTTTCCCCTCTTACACTGAATGATGATGATGACAATGATACCAGTAAACTTACCTTGTGCTGTATGGTGAAATGTACACAATAGAACGTTTCCAGGAACTTATGGCATGTAAGTGGCATCCACCATGGTGTCTGTGCTATCTCCTTCTGGCTGTGATGTAAGAAAAGATTGTTGAGATTGAGTCCAGAACCTGGCATGATGGTGTTGATGCAATCCCAGCACTCAGGAGGCAGAGAGGAAGGCTGTTCTGCCTCTGAGGCCAGGCTAGTGACAGAGGAAGATCATGCTCTGTTTTGTTTTGCTTTTACAGAGGAATGTGCCAGGTTTTGAATGAGGTAGTTGGTTCAAAGGGACATTGTAGGGATTACTGGGCGATAAAGAATTTATTTGGGCTTTGCAGACGCCGCTATCCCCTTGTCGCCGCTTGCTGCAGCCACCATGGTCAACCCCACCGTGTTCTTCGACATCACGGCTGCTGGCGAGCCCTTGGGCCGCGTCTCCTTCGAGTTATTTGCAGACAAAGTTCCAAAGACAGCAGAAAACTTCCGTGCCCTGAGCACTGGAGAGAAAGGATTTGGATATAAGGGTTCCTCCTTTCACAGGATTATTCCAGGATTTATGTGCCAGGGTGGTGACTTCACACGCCATAATGGCACTGGCGGCAGATCCATCTACGGAGAGAAATTTGAGGATGAGAACTTCGTCCTGAAGCATACAGGTCCTGGTATCTTGTCCATGGCAAATGCTGGACCAAACACAAATGGTTCCCAGTTTTTCATCTGCACCGCCAAGACTGCGTGGCTGGATGGCAAACACGTGGTCATCGGGAACGTGAAAGAAGGCATGAACATTGTGGAAGCCATGGAACGTTTTGGGTCCAGGAATGGCAAGACCAGCAAGAAGATCACCATTTCCGACTGTGGACAACTCTAATTCTTTCGACTTGCGGGCTTCCTACCCACAAGACCATTCCTTCTGTAGCTCAGGAGAGCACCCCCACCCCATCTGCTCGCAGTACCCTGTAACCTTCGCTCTCACTGAAGTTCTCTGGGTTCCGTATTCTCCTCATTCCCCTCCCAAGTCTAGCTGGATTGCAGAATTAAGTTTATGATTATGAATAAAAACTAAGTAAGAAAAAAAAAAAGAATTGATTTGGAGTTGGACTGCCATAAATAGAGAGACAGAGAGTGCACCATGATTGGGGTTCCCAGGAGAGTTCCAGCCCCAGCACCAGAGATGGTTGAATGGAGGGATGTCCAGAGCATCAGGGTCTCTGTGGCAGAACAGGACTCTTTTTATACTGTAGGATGGGGATTGAGGTTCATAGCAGGAGCCTGCAGCCAGGCTCTCAGATTACCAGACATGTGACACAGGACAGGGCACCCATCATGAAAACTCACTTAGGTTTGTATGGTACCTGCAAGGGAGCTACTGGCGACTCATTTTGACTGGAGCTCCATCTTGGCTCTGTTACAGCAGAGCATGTAGATTAGAGATTCTAGCAATACATGCTGGCAGAGTATGCATCAGTCCACTCAAAAACATCACCATGCTTTGTTTTAAGAATTAGAGCCGGGCAGTGGTGGCACACGGCTGTAATCCCAGCATTTGGGAGGCAGAGTCAGGTGGATCTCTGTGAGTTCGAGGCTAGCCTGGTCTACATAGCTAGTCCAGGACAGGCTCCAAAGCTACAGAGAAACCCTGTCTCGAAAAACCAAAAAAAAAAAAAAAGCGTTAGAATACGGCTGGAGAGATGGCTCAGAGGTTAAGAGCACTGGCCGCTCTTCTAGAGGTCCTGAGTTCAAATCCCAGCAACCACATGGTGGTTCACAATCATCTATAATAAGATCTGGTGCCCTCTTCTGATGGACAGGGATACATGCAGACTGAACACTATATACAAAATAAATAAATCTTTTTTTTGAAAGATTTATTTATTTATTATGTATACAGAAGAAGGTGCCAGATCTCATTCATTATAGATAGTATAAATAAATTAAAAAAAAAATAAAGAATTAGAATACCTGGGGCCTATCAGTTATGAGCACTGCCTGCTTTTCCAGAGGACACAGTTCAATTTCCAGCACCCACATGGCAGCTAACTGTCTGTAACTCAAGATCTGGCACACTCACACAGACGTACACAGCCTTTCCTCTGTGAAATAAATGTCTATATGTACAGTGCACATAAGAATGACCCACATTTGTGGCACTGTTCAACAACAGTGTGACCAGAGCTGTGCTCTCCTGGTCACCTTCATTCTTTTCACTGAGGTTGGAGGCTCATGGCAAACCTGAGTACAATGTCATATCTTTGCACAGAGATGGGATGGAATGGTGTCTGCAGAGAAAGTTCATGAAGAGCTAGATGGTTGTTTTAATTCCCCCAAATGAGCCTCCTACTCCAACCCCCACTTAAAAAGTCCTTTTCCACTAGGTTCCTCCCTACCACTTCCTATCAGCTGGTTGCTGACTCAGCCTCCTGACTGAAGGTTAATTTTATCTAATCAAACATTGTAACACATCTTTGCATCATTAAACAAATGTTCCAGAGCATAAACAAAAGTAACACATCTTATAACAATATTCTACCACAGTTTGAGAAATG